CCCCCCCCAAAATTTACTCCCTACTTACTTTGTATATATGTATATGTATACATATATATGTATATGTACCTATTGTCTCCTCCAGTAGAATATATGCTTCTTGAGGGTAGGGACTGTTTTATTTTGTGTCTTTATATCCCTAGGACCTAGCCAATGCCTGGCACAAAATAAGTATGCGATGAATGTCAATTGATTGATTGATTGAAAGATTTGAGTTAGAGTTAGGAAATCTATCTTTCTTTACAATCACTTCCATTATTGATCTACCACATTTTGGACCTTTGATAGCCCAAAGGAAAGAAAGGAAATTTAGTATTTAGCGATCAGTCAGTCAGTAAGCATTTATCAAGTGCCTACTGTATGCCAGGCACTAGGCTGGGTACTGGGAATACAAATACAGTGAATGAAAGAATCCCTGTTCACAGGTGCCAGGCACTGTGCCAAGCCCTGAGGATGACATAGGCCTTGCCTCCACGATTTGCCATTCCCCTAGCATTTCTTTCGCACGTTAAGGTTTGCTAATGACAGTGTTTTACCTGTGTTATGTTTGTGTGTCTGTGATTTCTGTGTCATTGTACAGACCCGAACTGGGCCAGTTTGAATTTGGGTGCTCTCATGTGCATCGAATGCTCAGGGATACACCGGAATCTTGGCACGCACCTTTCCCGCGTCCGGTCGCTAGACCTCGATGATTGGCCCATTGAACTCATCAAGGTCATGTCCTCCATTGGGAACGAGTTGGCGAACAGTGTCTGGGAAGAGAGCTGCCAGGGACACATGAAGCCCTCGCTGGACTCCACCAGGTAAGCCGTGTTGGAAGATTGACGGCTACTAGTTGTTTGGGAGGCCCAGAGGTGCACCAGGTAATTGGAATCTGCTTTCCTGAATACCCTGGTGACTTCCGCCTGAAGGCTAGTAGGATAATCCTAGGATTAGGTGCTCAAAGCATGACCTCAGGTGGAGAATCCTAACTCCTTCATTTGTCAAATTCTGTGTTTAGGTTTTGGGGGCTCTCACCCCTTGTTTTGTACAGCCTGTTCTCCCGACTCTGAATACACTAGTGAAATTCAGCCTAAGTTTTGAGTGGGCAGCATTTCTGAGCCTTTTATGTGACTCAATTAATTCCTGACTTGTTACGTTAACATCTCATACTCCCAGCCATCTATGCAGTTTCTTTTCGAGAATAAATGAATTTATAGCTGCAAAATGTTTTATTTAATCAATTGTACATTTAATCAAGCAGCCCTGGCTTGGCGTGTGATAAATCCTCTTCAGGACTGATTATTATCGAGTATGAGAGCAAGCTTTGTTTTTAAGCCACTCATTCCATTTCTTCCTTTTCGTTAATGACTGTGATAAACCTCTTTCGAGTGGAATCGGTCATAAAGACATGATGCTTCTAAAAGATGCTACTTCGGGTTTGCCGTGAGATGGGCAGTTTCAACTCGTTTGAACCCTCTGGTTTTTCCATAAATGTCACCTTCCCAAGGACATCTCCAGCAGGGAAGTGCTGTGAGGTAGGGGTCCTGAGCGATAGGCAGCAGGTACAAAGAGAATTGTGTTTCTTTTCAAGGCCGCTGTTCTGGATGCAGGGGAGAAAAAGGGAGGAAAGGCTGCCCATCACTCCATCCCCTGCCCCTCCCCAGCCCCAAGGTGATCTGAGGGGCAGGAGATGGGGATCAACTCCAGTCACTCAGTTCCCCTGGTTTGTTGATTGACAACCAGATCTTTCATGTAGCTACGCCGCAAGCCCTGACTGCACCTCCCACAAGGGAAAAGAAAGTGGCATCTCCTGGTGACTCCCAGCAACGATCACACAACCAGACAGGGCAGACGGCATTTTGTCTGCGTGAAAAAATGAATTTTTGGTGCCAGCTGGTTCCGCTTTAGACACAAAGTTTCAAGAGTTACTGTACAGCAAGGAGGTTATTCTGTGGGAAATTAGCTTGACATGGGCACAAAGTGCCCTTATTAGGGACCTTCTTACCGTCCTTACTGAGCAGCTCTAGAGAACGCTTGGGACTAGACGAGTCAAGAAGAAAGCGTGCCCATAGGTCGCCAGGAACAGTAGCGAGGAATTGGACAAGGAAGGACATTGTTGTTCCTGGGGAATTCAGGGGTGGTCACCAGCTTGGAGTATTTTGAGAAGCGCCTTTCTTTGGTCAAGACCATGCCTTTCCTTCTCTTCTTTCTCCTCCCTGTGTGATACTTATTCCCAATGTGGGTTTTCCCAAATCATGCCTTTGTTTGTATTTCCCACGTGTGCACTTATGTAAAATATGTGACTATATGTGCCTTCATCATCCACCCTCTTTTATATCACCTATTTATAATTTATATAGAGAGAAAGCAAAGACACAGCTTTACCAGCAATTTAGTTAGGCTTTCTGTTAGCTGCGTGGGCCTTTGTGTACCTTAAATCTGTCCTAAATTACAGTTTTTAAAATCAGTAGGAATGGTAATGATAGTAATTGAGGTAGGAAGTATCACGGCTCTAGTGGATGGACAGAGGGCCAGCCTTAGAGGAAAGGAGAGCCAGGGTTGAGGTGTGCCTCTCTGTGACCCTTGACCTCTCAGCCAATGCTGTAAGACCAGCAGTCTCCAAACTTTGTAGTCATGCACCCATAAATCAAAAATAAATAAAATAAATAAGGACCCAAGTAAGCTGGGAGAGAAAGGATGGGTTTGCTGGGAGCAGCAAGGACGTTTTTCAATATCACATGCTCAGGTTCTGCTATGAGTGTCCAGGTCACGAGTTATAATCTAATGGTCATAACTGCCCTGAGGGTTCTGCCCGGGGCAAAAGAGTTTGCATTGGTTGGGATTGTGCATAGGAATGCCGCAGGGATGGGGGTATTTGGGCTACAACAGCTGAAGGGAAGGTACAGATAAGCCCCAGTGTTGTCTCCTTGGGATAATGAGATGAGACCCATCCTCCCATCTCCCAGCTGGTTGGTCACACATCCCTTGGGCTCATGCCACAGCCCCAGGCATTCTGGAGGAGTCACCAGTCTACATTGGTGAAGGGACATTCCATGCCAATAGTTGCCAACTCTTTTGAAATCATAGGTCTGGTCTCATAGCTCATTGTCAGCATAATATCCAAGTTCTGTGGTTCTGTGATTCAATATGGGTCATCTCACTTGTGATACAGATAGCAAGCCCTCCATGTTTCCCTATCCTACCCTTGTGGCTGCCCTTCTAAGAGTAGATCATAAGAAAGCCATCTGAAGTGCTGGATCCTTCATTTCCCTTGACTTCCTGGAATACCCATGGAATATACGGGCTGGCCGGCCATCAGTTATTCTTCGCTTATGTCACATGACCAGTCCAAATGGCAAATGTCTCCATGAATCAAAGAGCGATCATTTTACTAACAATATTCTCATAGTGTCATGTGGCAGTCTCTAAAGAATTGAAAATAACTATCACCCACAGAGCAATGGAAGAACCACGACCGTGTTGGAACACAGTACAGAAAAGTCCTCTCAAATCCGCAGGGGGTCCATGTGTGCTTATCGATGTGAGCAATACCTGTAACGGTGAATTCCAGCTGTGCAATATCACTGTTCTCTGTGTCTTCCTATGAATTTGGCAAACCACTCAACTGGCTGGAGGCCTTATTTGATTTTTTCTGACATTGGTGAGGATGGCAGTGACCCAGTTGGGGTGTCCACTGTCCCTTGCTCCCACCATGTGACTCCCCCATCTTCCCCCATCTACTCTTCCATTGTTATGAATGGTAATAATGTTTCTTTCTGGACTCCATCAAAATAGATGAGCACAAATTAATTATCATTATAAAGATAACACAAATGTAATCATTATGCAAGTCCTATAGAGAGAGTGTGATGCTTAGAGTCAAAAGCCTGGGTTCAAATCCTATTCCTTATTCGGGCTAATGACTTACCCTCATTCAGCCCCAGGTAACTTCCTAGAATTTATCTAGTAAGTCACAGCTGGATCTGTTCAGGACAACACACGTTGGAGGGCCTTCTTGTGACCTACTCTTAGAAGGGCAGTAACAAAGGTAGTACAGGGAAACATGGAGGGCTTGCTATCGGTATCGGAGATGAGAGGACCCATGTTGAAATCACAGAGCCACTGCAGTATTTGGACATCACGATGACAGGGAGTTATTAGTACAGACCTTGATTTTTAAAATGTTGGTAACTGTTGGCGTGGAATGTCCCTTCACCGTTGTGGATTGACAGCTCTTCTAGAAACCAACTGGTTTGTCTTGAGCCTAGCAGATGTTTATGGAAGCCATGAGAGATAGATCTGGAAAATGGGAGCCCAACTGAGGGGTTTGAACATTCCTCTGTCGGTAATAGGGAGCCATTGAAGAAGCCTGGTCATGCCTGTAGGATAAGAAGTACAGTTGGGCAGTGGGGTCAAGGCTAGGTCAAAGAGAGGAGAGACTAGAAATGAGGAGACCCTTTTAAAAGCTATTGAAACGGCGAATGAAGCCCAAAATTCTGTGAAGGACTCACTCAGATCTAGCAAGATACTCATCAGGTCCCCTGTGCCTTTGCCTCATTGAGATGCACAAACCAGAAAGCGTGGGCTCAAATTTCAGGAGAGAATTCTTGTTCTTGACCCGGGGCTTGCCAGAGAAGCAGCTGTGAGTCGATTTAATTATTACATTAAATCCCACGCTAAAAAGGTACTTCACAAGTTGCGGTCTGTCTCTTGCCCTCTTTCCCAAATTATGACGGAGGCCATGGAGTCCACTTAGCCAGATGTTCCCCCGGGGAGCCCCGCCCATTCCGTCTCATTAAGAATTGTGTCTCAGACTGAGGCACCGCATTGGAGCAGCCCTCCCTCCATCCAGTCTGAATTAGGATGCAGGGAAGGTGCAAAGGGACCCATCAGGCCCCCAGAACCCAAACAGAAACCATACTGTCCCATAAACCCCGGGTGCTCCAAAGAGCCGGCCCGCCTTCAGATTGTGGACCGAGTGGGCCTTGATTAGGTCAGCTCAAGAAAGCTGATAATTGCTTCCAGTGATTATCGGCCGCCCTGAGAACTGGCGTCCCACCTTGGAGAGCATTGTGACAAATTAAAGCTGACTGCTGCTCAAGGAGTATTGACTTCCCATTTCTAAACAGGGGAATCATTAGTCAAGAAAAGCATCTTTTAATTACTCCCAGGAAAGGGGGGGTAGGGGGGAGAGAGAAAATCTTTCAGCATGGATCTCGTAACAACTGCCATTTCTTTTCATCGCATTCAATATGAAATTTATTGTCCGGGGGGAGGGGGCCCATGCCCTCCATGCTTCCATCCCTCCTTTTGTAATGTCAGTTTAATTTGGAGTGAGAAGTCAAATTAGGGTAGATCAATGTTACAACAATTAACTGGGTCTGGAGCAAAATCAGAATTTTCCTCTCTAATTGCTATCAATACCATTTAAGCACACACTTAAAATATCGATTTAAGATGGCGAGGTGAAAGTGGTATGTGGATAGCAATGGTGGGCAGAATTGACTGGACCTTTGAGGTAAGAAGAAAGGCATTTTCTGTCTTTGGCTTTAGGAAACGCTGGCCTTAAACAAGCATGAGGAATAAGTTCTTAGGCCACAGGGCCTGGCGGAAGGAGTTTTGAACCTCGAAATCCAGAGAGCTGGGTTCAGGTCCCCATTCTTTCCTTAGCTATATCGCCTTACAGAAGTCAATACAGTTAGAGCTAGAAAGGACCTCCTTAAGAGGCCATTGTATTTATTTATATGTATTTATATGTGTACAGAGGCAGCTAGGTGGCACAATGGATAGAGTGCCTAGCTTGGATTCAGGAAGACTCATC